GACTGTGATCCACAGAGAGACTGTGATCCACAGAGAGACTGTGCTCCACAGAGAGACTGTGCTCCATAGAGAGACTGTGATCCACAGAGAGACTGTGATCCACAGAGAGACTGTGATCCACAGAGAGACTGTGCTCCATGGAGACAAAGACTGTGTGTGTGTGTGTGTGTGTGTGTGTGTGTGTGTGTGTGTGTGTGTGTCGGGGGGGTGTCAGTGGGGACTCTTGGAAGGACAGACATTGAAGGAAATACAGCAGGTGCCACATCTGCACCACACCACCCACCTCACAGGCGAAGGTAATGAAGATTCATTCTTGTGTCTCCAGGCTTCTGTATCTGCTCTGAGCCTCACCCTCCCATCCGCGGTTTGCATCCCTAGCCCTCCATCTTCATGTCTTTCCTTTCCTTCCTCTGCTCTCCACTCCTGCTGTCCTTCCGGGCCTGAAAGGCCCGCTCAGCAAGAGGGTTTTTGTTGTTGTTGTTGTTTTAACTAAAGAGATCTTTGTGCAATGAAAACTGGTGAGGACTGTACAGGGACGTCACACATGCATAAACCTTCCATCTCAGTGGATTCTGTGTGACCTCAAGATTCAGCAAGACACAATGTCACCATCTTTCAATTCAGCCTCTCACGTGAGCTGGTACACTTGGCCTTTCAGACTTAGTTTTCTTCTAAGAAATACTATGGACTTTTGTGCTATTTAACTTTTCTGTCATGACTATAAAGGTGAAAATTAATGCTGGCCTAATGCTTATATAATCTTGACATATGGGAGGATGAACAGGAGGGTCAGGAATTCAACGTCAGGTACTCTTAGGTACACAGTGGTCTCAAGGCCAACAGGCTATGTGAGACACATCTCCTAGCTCAAACAAATAGACAAAATAAAATTTGAAATTAAAATAGAGGCATCTCACAGTTCTGCATGTGCGTGAGCATCGTAGCCTCCCTGCTCAGCTATGCACACTCTCTCTAATGCTTCTTTCTATGTGATAGTTTCCTAGTGTCCGCAAACAGTTTAGACTAGCTTTGATGACTAGATGTATTTAATTTTGTGAAAAGTACTAAAATTGATCTATTTCCTCCGTACATGTTCTTTCACTATTGCTAGTAACACTACACACAAGCATGCACATGTGCACACACGCACACACCTGAAAGAAAAGTTTGCATGAGAGTTGGCCACAGAAGTAACGTCATCTCATTCCAGAGTTTCATTGTAAAGTGAGGGAAGGGAGGAAAAGGGTTTTGATACGGCCACAACTCTACATCAGATTCAGTTCCTGGAGGGGAAACTGACTGGGTCTCATGCTTCTGCAAGACACCACCAAAACAGTTTGTTCTAATCTTTGGTGTGTGGCATGAGGATAGCCAATTCCCTGTATCCTGAATTTGTTAATATGATTTGTAAATTTTTGTCAACTTGATAGTCAAAAAATGAAAATAGCCATGGAGAGCTCAGTGGTTAGAAGAGATTGTCACACAAGCCTGGGGACCTGAGTTCAAATCCCAAGAACCCACGTAAAAGCTAAAAACAGGGGCATATGTCCAGAATCACAGAATGTAGGCATATATACAAATGTATTCCTTACCACAGTTTATAATTACATGCTTACTCATGTGACTAATTACATGCATGCTTATTTGTGGGACTAATTTGTCTCCTTTACTAGACTGTATATGCCAAGAGGGTAGAGATCACACATGTTCTGCTCACCACTGGACACCTGGGGCTACAGTGCTGGCACTTGATGAATACTTAATGGAAAATGTCCTCAGAACGAGCGGCCATTGGTCCCTGCCCACTTGGGACCACTTGCTGGCACCGCAGAAGCTTGCTTACAGACTGCTTACCAGGCCCATGAGCAGCCTCTGGTGCCTGTCTTCTTCTTGTAAGAGGGGTATTAACTTTGGCTCTGAAATTGAACAGAGGAGCAGCCATCAGAAGGGCAGTGTTCAGGAAGTGGGCTTGAACCCCGCAGGCCAGTTCTTCACTTGAGCCTCTTACCCTCAAGAGGCCTAACTCTAGGGACGGCAGCATGGTTCCCTTCTGCTTCCTGACCCCATAGTTCAGTGGCCTTGAGAGTTACTGAACTGATGTCACAGCCAATAACTGGGGCAAACAAGGCTGATGGGCGCAAGACTGAGAAGATCGCAACAGCGAGACAGTGAAACCAAATGTCACTTCCTGGCGGGCGGGCGGGCAGGGGGGCAGGCGGGCAGGCGGGCAGGCGGGCAGGAGTTTTTCAGGATCTCTGAGGCCCAGAGCAGGTGAGAGGGCAGAACCCACAAGCTGATGCTTCCTTCTGCAAGGGCATGGCTGCTCTATGGCCCCTAAGGATGAATGCTTTCTCCACCCATCTTAACCCTCGGGATTATGATGAAAGCAGCCAGAATATGAGCTTAACAACCCTCGGTTTGAAGTATTCAGGTTCAGGCAGCAACAGCATTCTTCATGTGGAGCAGAGCATGGGGCAGGAAGTGAAGTTTTTCAAGCACACTGGGAGACACTGTCCCAGCAAGACGATGGCAGGCCTGGCACCAAGCAGGGCTCCAAAGCCTCCCTTAGACAGCGACAATGTTTCCCACACTGCACAACTTTCAGCCACAGCAGGAAGATGACCTTGTATCTCACACATTTATGCCCTGTATGGTAGGGCACAGTACCTGGCTATGGGCAAGGATGGTTTGGTTACCTAGGTTATGGCTAGTTCCCCAAGGAGATAAGTCACCTTCATGGCTCACCGGGCTGTGTATACAGCTGTCGAGTATGCTGTTACACACTCTCCAAATTAATTTTCATTACGGTCCCCACATATATGAAAACATCCAAGCCCATAAAACAAGAGTAGATAAAAAGTTTCCTTGATGAAAGCTGGCCTTCATGAAGCATGATCAATATCAAAAAGGCTTGGACCTGAAAATATTCACCATTCTCTCTCCTCAGCTACCACAGAGAAAACCCTCCTTGCCTGTCAAGACTTAATTTAGCTGACACCTGCCTTGGATAGCCTCCCCCGCCTCTCTCTTCTCCATTAAGTCCCTTCCTGCCCACATCCCTTACGCCTACACGAGGCACTGGCTCGGCATGCTCTACACGAACCAGTCCGTCCTGCCTTTCCCCTCACACTAGCCCTGAGGACAATGTGCGAGGCACTTATGGTCGGCATGTGACAGCTCTGGAGTCTAAGCTGGTGTCCATCCCACAGAACCACACTGCTCCCCTGGGACCAAGCCCAGGGCACGGCCCAGCATGAACCAAAGGAAGGCACATCCAAGTCAAAGGCTCTATGTGATCAGAGAGCTTCAGAGGCCGCTCAGGCGGAGAGCTGCCAAGTGTGCCCGCGGTACCGCCAGAGGCCATGCTAATTAGATCAGCTCTGAGCGGAGATGTGAGCAAAACCAGAAGGCCAGCACGGAGGGACTCCCTCTGCAAAAACAACTCGGCAGCTGACCTGGAGGTCCTAGTGCCGAGATACACAGGGGCCTGGCTATGTGGTCACTCTCCCAGGGCGATGTTAAAGCTGCTGCTATCCATTACACCCCGTTACACTGCTGCAAGTGATTTTCTTGCCAACCCACTGGTTAGGAAGAACAACATTGCACACAAGACATGGACTTTAGCACAGGTCTTTTCTTACCCAACATCCTCGTTTCCATGTTAGAAATTACCCTGCAAAGAAATTATGTGTTATTTACAAGGGAAACATCATTTAAAAAATGTAGAGCCCAACACCATACAGAGATATCCTCTTTAAAGACTCACAAAACCACTGCAGAAGCTCTTCTCTGCCTACCAGGAAACTAAAAAACTTACATCAGTGTACCAAAAGGCACATTAAGCAATTACAAATCTCAAAGCCCTTTAGTGCCAGCAACGGCAATTATTTAGAAAAATTGCAGCTCTCAGTTATTGGAAATAATGGAGGCAGAAAACGGAACAGCTGCTGGGACGGGCCTCCACTTTCAGCACTCTGGGATGACTCATCTACTCAGAAAACATGCCCTCAAAATAAGAGCAAGCTCCACCAACAACTTAAATCAGCCTGCTATCTATTTTCATCCTCAAAAGTATTCCCTTCTTTACCATTTATCCATCTTATACCATCTTATATCCATCTTATACCACCCATTCCAGGGTGCCAATCTACAGAGGCTTGACCCGGAAGCTTTTCCCACTAGGAACTCTAGCACCCAGTGGTCTGAGGAGACCAAGGACGGCACTCCACCATGGTGTACCACAGAGGCAGCCCACCAGGCTGGCCATAGCTGTCCTTTGATTGTACTGACTTGATTGCATTGTCCAGGATGTTCTTCACGTACGTCGTGGACCTTCTTTTTCCTGTTTTCTAGGGGAGAAAACATGTCAGGAATACAGAAGGTGAAAATTTCATGGATAGCTTTTTTTAATAGCAAGAACAAAAAGCAATGTAGTTAAAGTCTTCAAAAATAATATTATTTCCCATGTAATGAGAACATCTATTGTTTTAAATTAAACTTTGTTCTCAAACAATATAATCACAAGAAACCCTTCATCCTGCCTCTGTTAATGTTCCTATCTGATACAACTATACTACAATGTCAAAATCAGGAATTGGATATTGTATAGTATGTGTCTAGTCCTACGCCATTGTATCATGTGCTGCAGAGCTTTATGTACTATTAAAATACAGAACTATTCCCCAGAGAGCTCCCTGTCAGCCCCTTACAGTCTGTCTCACTGGTTCTTTCTCCCCCAACCTTTAGCACATACTGAGGAACAGCTACATTTTTCTAAATAAACTTTCAGCTGCTCAAGGAATCTAACCGCATCTGAGGCATGTTCCTGTGCTTCTCTTATAGTTGTGCTACGTGCCCCTTCACTTGCCTCACTCCAATTTCTTCCCCAAAGAACAGACAGCAGAAGCTGTCCTGGCTGCCCATTGGGCTGCCATGAGGCAGCGCAGCCTGGTGACAGGAAGAGCACAACCAGCAGGAGCCAGCCTTGTGCTGGCCTCGCTCAGTCTCTAGGGCCAGCTGCGTGCTCACCTCTTCAGAGACCAGGTTGTGCCATTCTCTCCTCACAACGCTGTTGTGGTAGTGTAAGTGAGGCTTCGTGTACTTGATGTACTCGAGGTTGGAGCTCAGCTTTGCCCAGTACCCCTTGAAGCTGTAGACCTGTAGACAGAAAAGCAGGCGCTGAAGTTCATACCGCAATAGTGACCAGCGTGTCTCACTTGCACGCCCGCTGGGTGTTGGCATTTTTGAGCCACTACATCTTTCATAGTACAGCCACACCCCATGAAAATTTGAAAATCCAGAGACTCGGGAGCCTAACCTCTCTTCTTCCTCTCTCCCCATTTACAACAGAGAACTACAGCTCATTTCCCAACGCTAAGGACTTCCTAGTCAGGTTGGGCTCAGCAGGAAGCCTTGCAGTGAGGCATTTCCTCCCCAGAGAGTAATTCTTCTGGCTTGGGTGGTGTCACCACACTATGTCCTGTCAGAAATGTGCCTGGAACTCAGAGCAACTGGAATGGGCTTGCTTCTCTTCTAGGCTTACTCATTCCTAACCTAGTCATCAAAATGATAACATAAACTAATTTCACAATAGTTGTTAAATTCTTCCAAAGAGAATGGGTTGGTATTTAGATCTTTGAATAATTAGTTATTGAAGAATATAATCATCATAGTCACCCTTTAATAATAAAATACTATGCTAATGTATATTAATGTTGAAGAATATAGAGATATATCTGTAGATATGGGAGTCTGGTGACCACCCACTGGGCACATGGGCAGCAGCAGCAGCAGCAGCAGCAGCAGCAGCAGCAGAAGCAGTTTACTAAGTGAATGACACATGCAAGGAACGCAGCGAGCCCGAGCCAGGAGAGGAGTTAGAACCTCAATAGCCAACCCTGCACAAAACACCAGGTCATTCACACAGCATGGGCTTTCTTATGTATGCTGTATCTACCCTGGTAGTAGTGGGCAGCAAGACCTTTTGTGTAGCCTAACAGATGTTGCTTATTGTGGTGACAGACTTAATAGAATCCAAAAAAATAAGAGAACTTATGGTCAATGGGGTCCCACAGACCCCCCTCAAACACAAGCTATTGTCATTGTTATTGGTTACCCTCCAGAACCTAATGGTGACACCCTATTGCTGAAGACACCATACAGTCAAGTCATAGGACATGGATAAATCAAGCCAGCACTGACTCCTGCTGGCTGGTCAAATTATAAGCATATACTTGCTAGCTTTTATAGTGATAGAAGGTGTTATGCATATTACTAGAGGAGAAAAGTTTGTCTGCTGTGGGATAATGCTTTTGTACACTGGATTAATAAAACACTGATTGACCAGTAGCCAAGCAGGAAGTATGGACGGGATAAGCAGACAAGGAGAATTCTGGGAAGAGGAAGGCTGAGTCTGGAGATGCCATCCCACCATCCAGGGAACACGTGGTGACATATAGATTAACAGAAATGGGCTGAGTTTAAATGTAAGAGGTAGTCAGTGGTAGGCCTGAACTAATGGCCAAGCAGTTTTAATTAATATAAGCCTCTGTGAGTTTACTTGGGGGACGCGAGTGGGAGAGGTTTGTCCCAACTGCCAGCCGACCTGCGGGCCGGGACACAAGAAAAGCTCCAGCTACACTTATCAGTGCTACCCAGCTGTGATCTCAGTGAGGCTACAACACATACACACACCCCTCAATACTTGGGGATCATCCAAGAAGAGCGGGGCAGAAAGGCTGTAAGAGCAAAGGGAGAGGAGAATGACTGTAAAGCAATGCTTTCCAGCCAGGACAGGGCCACTGGACACTTGAACTCACAGCGTTTGTGACTGCACAGAACTGCACACACAAGACCTGTGCGAGATCAAACCAGCCAGAATCCCAGCATGGATGGGGAAGGATCTTACAAAATCCCAGGCCTATCTGAAGAGCTATTGCCAATTGATAGCTGCTGGGCGAGGGAGAGTGCCAGTTTGCTTCAGGGATGCAGCCCCTCAGAGACTGCCCACACCCCTGCTGATGAACATACTGGAGTACTGGGCCTTCGGTGGGTTTCAAAGGACCACATGGAGATGGGGCAGAGCAGTGGGGGGCTAATGAGGAGATGGAGGTGGAGATGGGGTGGGTTTAATCGAATTACATGCTTATATTAGCTGGTTTTGTTTGTCAAATTGGCACGCTAGAGTCATTGAGAAGATAGAACCTCAATTAAGAAAATGCCCCCCCCCCATCATCAGCCTGGCCTATCAGCAAGCCGATGAGGCATTTTCCTGATGATTGATGTGAAAGGGCCCAGCCCACCATGAGTGGTGTGGTCCCTGGGCAGGTAGTCTTGGGGTCTATAAGAAATCAAGCAAAGAACCAGGGGAAGCAAACCAGTAAGCAGTGCTCCTCCATGGACTCTTTCGGTTCCTGACTGCAGGTTCCTGCTTTGAGTGTTTGCCGTGCCCTCCCTTCGTGATGGACTACAACTGTACACTGAAATAAACCTTTTCCTCCCAGGCTGCTTTAGCCATAGTGTTTATTGTAAAAACTTAACTAGGACGATGCACGTATGAAACTCTTTGAATAGTAAATTTAAAAAGGAAAAAAATTAAGAATAAATGAGAACTTAAATAAAATATACTTTAATTACACACAAAATGCTCTAATATTACATTAAAATGTGGCTACATGCTATTATTGAAAAGACAACATTGGTTTCATATGGATTTTGGAGTTGCAGTAAGGCAAGTTACATGACACTTTTTTTTTTTTTTTTAAAGATTTATTTTATTTATTATATGTTTGCCTGCAGACCAGAAGAGGGCGCCAGGTCTCATTACAGATGGTTGTGAGCCACCATGTGGTTGCTGGGAATTGAACTCAGGACCTCTGGAAAAGCAGCCAGTGCTCTTAACCGCTGAGCCATCTCTCCAGCCCCACATGACACTTTTATAGTTTATTTAGAAACCAGAAAGGGCCACACAGCCAAGGCCCTTCTCCCAGAGGTAAAAAACTAAGACGTATTTCCAGGGTAGACGGGAATGCCAGGGTCAGGGCCCTCTCCTTAACTTTTCTTCAGGGAAGAATGCAAGGTGACCCTTATTTATAGTAAACCTATCTTAACTATCCTTCTCCCTAGTTAGTAATAATAATAATAATAATTAATAATAATAAAGTCGGACAAGTCCTGCAGACTTATCTCTACTGCCTTATGTTCCCTATGTCCGGCTGTGGAACACTGGAGCCCAAACCAGAAAACTACTTGGTGTTGTGGTGCCATCTAGTGGTCAGTTTGGCTACAGGCACGCCTGCTTTGACACAGCAGTCTACATGGGATTCACCCCAATCTTGCCCAGGAAGAGAACTAGGGTCGCCCTGTTGTGGCTTGTTTAGGCCAAATACTCATGCTGACAGAAGACTGCACTCATACTGCGGCTTCTTTAAAAAAAAAATTCTTCTCTTCACTCAAAAAAAAATTGGGAGGCCAGGAAGATGGCTCAGTGTAAGACTGATGGCCCGAGGCCCGGCCCGAGCCCACGGGTGGAAGGAAAGATCAGCTCCCACAGCCCTCTTCTACCTGCACACCCACACATACGAACCACAGCTCCCACCGTCCTCCTCTCCTGCACACCCACACACACGAACCACAGCTCCACAGCCCTCCTCTCCTGCACACCCACACACACGAACCACAGCTCCCACCGTCCTCCTCTCCTGCACACCCACACAAACAAACCATATACCCAGATCAATACATATATTTTGAAGCTTGTTTTTCTCGTAGTCTTGAGTCAATTGAGAATAACAGAAAAATTGTGGGCAGTGAACAACCTTCAAAAGTGCTAGCATGCCCATGGCAAGATAGTGTGCTTGTGCAAGAATTTTCCCTGGAGCTGTTTATATCTTGCACTAGATATTTACAATAGTTCAAAACCACTGGTTAAAAAGGTGTTGTGTGTCTGTTCTTCTCCACTGAAACACTCCCTCCTAGAGGGAGGACGAAGGCCCAAAGCCCCAGGAAGCTAACAAAACTCCTAAGACTTGAAAAACCCTTTCTGGGTTCCTGATGAAGAGGAGACTTTTCCATGGAGCAGGAGCCCCACTGATGGAGCTGCCCAGGGGTCACCCACGTGCCTGCAGCTGCCCAGGGGTCACCCATGTACCTGCAGCTGCAAGGGGGTCACCCACATGCCTTCACTGCCCAGGGGCCACTCACATACCTGCGCTGCCCAGGGACCATCCAGGGGCCATCCACATACTAGCAGCTGTCCAGGGGTCACCCACATACCTGCGCTGTCCAGGGGCCACTCACATACCTGCATTGCCCAGCGGCCATCCACATGCCTGCAGCTGCCCGGGGGTCACCCACAAACCTGCAGCTGCCTGGGGGTCACTCATGTACCTGCAGCTACCCAGGGGTCACCCACATACCTGTAAGCAACCCCCTTTGCCCATGTTCTTACAGGCAATCCCCATAAACACACTGGTTTACCAAGCTATACTTAGGTAGATATTCTTTAGTCTGTTTGTGATGTCCTATCTGAAGAGAGTGGACATTTGTCCATATCTATCCAAGAAAAGTCACACAACAGAATACAAAGATCTGTATGTTAGACAAAACAAAAATTAAAACTTATACTTAGTAAAAATACTGCTAGTCAAAGGTGCCCTAAATATTTTCATATGAACTGATAGTCTTTTAGACTGGCCTATTATAATCTCCATGTTCTCTTACTGTTGGTAAACACCATCAGCATTTGGTCAGTGGTGCAATGTTTAACCTGCTAACATTCAAAGATGACCGTACACCGAATGGCCTGTTTGGGAGTCTGAGAAACACAGGCCCAGGGACACAGATTTGAGAAAACACAGGCTAAGGATGGCATGTTCAACAACGCTCTTAGTGAGTGAACAGAGACGAGAATATAGATAGTGGGTTTGGATCAGAGACAGGACATTGGAAAGCTGAGAAAAGATAAAATAGCTGTCCACAGTTGGTGATGGATTTCCAGCCTCAGATACCCATTTGAAACACTACCATCTGCCTGAATTTAGAAGCCTTGTGAGTTTTTCAAGTTCCTGGGATGATCCTATAGATCATCATTCTCGGCTGAAAACATGGGTTGAGCATGCAAGCATAGTCCTGCCCCTTACACAGCCCTTGGACTGCAT